TTTTTTTATAATTTCCTGCCTCTATGGAGCTAAAAGAGGCCACCCAGTCACACGAGATATCATTGGAAAGGTCAGGATGTCCTAAATTGAGCACATCAGGACTTAGTAGGGTTGCTTTAGTAAGTCAAAAGATATAGACCAAAAACAAATTTCCATTAAAGAGGACATAAATGAATAGGCTGGGTCTCAGGAGGACATCATGATATAATTAAATGAGATGAGCCTGGGCACATCTGTTGTACGAGTAGGAGCCCCGTGTTTGCATCCAATGATAATTTACGGCTCAAAAAAGGAGCTTCTTCAGCAACCTCCAACAAATCACAGTGCTTTGCAAATGATGCAGGGAAGCTGTTCCTGATAACGGTGGAAACCACTTGAGGCCGAAACAAACTGTTGACTACAACCAAGCTGTGAAGGAGTCGGTACTTCCTGCTGGTGACGTGTGACTCAAATGTAAACAAGTGACTCAACTGAGCTTTGCTGGGGCACTGATCCTTGCACTCCATATGACAGGAAGAGCAAACGGTGGATGGACATTACTGATGGGGTTGCATGGTTGTAAAGCAGCTTATAAAAAAAGCTTGTTCCACGATGCAACATCCCTTGTAGAAATAATGTTTTTAGTTTTGTCATGTGACAATATTGTGGAGCTCCTGATGACTTAAAGGCTTAAGTTACTTTAGGTATTGTTGAACTAAAGTGTTAAGCAATTGTTTTATACTTTCTTAGTGTAAGCTCTCACTTAATGCAGTTTGTTTTCCATACTTTTCACACACATCTAACTGATGAAACATCACAGAGAAAGCCATCCATAGACGTAGGCGTTTTTGCTGTGTACTGTTATTATGAATAATGAAATTTACTGTATTGTTCATCTTGCCGTCTCTTATCAGATTCCCACAGCCCAGACAGTTCGTCTGTGTCCTCCCCACCTTCGGGCCAGCGCTCCCCTCCGCTGGTTCCCTCAGCTGCAGCTTCCATGACCTCCCTGCCTCCCATCACCACTGCCGGGGTCAACAGCCCCATCAGCAGCATTGGTTCCCCCTTTTCTGTTATCAGCTCTTCGCTGGGGTCGCCTTGTCTACCTGGCACACCGTCAGTGGGTTACGGCCCAATTAGCAGCCCCCAGGTGACATTTTGCTTTGTTTAGTATGGTTCAGTACATGTGGATGTATCCGTCATTTTGTAGGATTTAGAGCTTGCTACAGCTAAAGTGATGGCTAAACCAACTTTACTCTGTAAATCAGTATCATTCAAAATATTTCACGTTGTATATGCTCAACATTAAACACAAAGTATTCAAAAAATGCTGTTTTTGCTTTAGTGTTTGTCTTTGATATCAGAAATGTTTGTTCTTTGTTATGAGCCCATTTATATTGTTTTCTGTTTTGTGTTATTTACATGGAAGATTCTAATAGCTGTCTGTTTTCAAACATGTGGCAGAGAGAGAAGAGTAAGTAGGTTAAAAATTAGGTGCAAAGGGCCCATGTTTCATTTTCAGTGTCCTCTAAAGTTTATAGTGCAGTCTTGATTGTAATATTAAACACAGTCTTTGGATTGTTACAGAGATGAAAAGGGAATAGTGAATAATGTATCATAAAAAGCCTGGTTGTCATTGCATTTTGCATCTTTTCTGTTGCTTTCTCAGATCAACTCAACCGTGTCGATGTCGGGGCTTCATGCAGTGAGCAGCTCCGATGATGTGAAACCTCCACTGGGCTTGAAACAGCTGTCATCTCACAGCCCTGGGCCGATGCTTTCCCAGAAACGTCTTTGTTCCATCTGTGGAGATAGATCCTCTGGTGAGTAGACGTCTAAAATACAGCTAC